TAAAGACAGTATTACAAGGGTTCAGTGTAGAAATTTTCAAAAAAAGACACAAAAAAGCGAAAGAGCACAGGAGAGGGAGTAAGTCCCTGTCTGACCCCACACACCAGCAATATGATCTTAGTTAAATCCCTCACCCTGCAGCCTTCCATTTGTTTTTGAGGGTTGGGAGGATAAAATGACCTAACATTTGTGAGGTTTTTTTCCTATATATATATATATATATATTATATATATATATACACATATATATACATTTACATCATTCTTCCTTTTTGTACAATGTATGCTTTCTCCTCTCAGGTGTAGAATGACCTAACATTTGCAACTACTTAGCCCAAAGTCCAACCCACAGGAAGCACTCACCATCACATAAATATCAGTAGTAGCCTAGGGGCAGTAATAGTAATAATGATGGTAATGGCAGAGAGTGTTCCCAGCAAGATAATATTGCAAATGCCAGTTTGACCCTGGAATGAAGCTTTAAAGGGGTCATTCAAAAAGACTGACAGCAATCTTTCACTAAACTATTGCTAATCAGCAAAGATGTTTTTTAATACCCTCTTGTGTTTCAGTAATATTTTTGAATATCTGAAAGTCTTTATCTGAGGGATAAGAGTTTGTTAAATACACCAAAGGTATAAAACTTTTGAAATTACTGTATGCTATTGATATTAGCTTCTTTTCCCTTTAATGAATATTTCCACCAAGAAGTTGTACCAAAAACATAAATGTGTAGCTGTAATTTTAGAATTACACAAAATGAAAACGTCCATCAATAAAAAAACTTGTAAACTATTTGTAATTTAGCAGTTTCTTTTTTAATTCTTCTAAATAATGGTTAAGTCAAAGAAAATATGAGCCATTATTCTTTTTATGTATTTCTAACAAGTTAGAAAATCTCTTCCCCTCTGAATGCTGGGAGAGGTTAGTTAAGACCCACAGTTTTTCCCTCCAGTATCTTCAAGGGGTGTGTGTGTGTGTGTGTGTGTGTGTGTGTGTGTGTGTGTTGCATATGTGAGATATGGTTTTATTTTTAAGTAAAGGTGAGATGGCAAATAAGAAAAAGAAAACAGTTTCTTAGGAAATTGGAGTCAATTGCAGAGCTTGATTGGGGAAAGGGTATGATGATAAAATCAGTTCAATCCATCTAAACTGCTGTGGTCTGCAAAGTATAAAGAGAAAGAAAAGCAATAATCCTCTTGCAAGAAGGAATTAGGGAGCATTAATTAGTACACGCATCCTACTCATTGGCTGAGTACTGCTTGACTATTTACCCACAGCACCTGCTGAAGCGCCACAGGAGGATACTGAGCACACCACGTGACATTCCTGGATGGAATCTTTAAAAATTCTTATCACCCTTTCTCAAAAATGTTCACAGGATCTTACACACATTGTGCTGGTAGCTGTGTTTGGTCTTGTTTTGGTTTGTGTTTAATCCAAACACCCCTCCTAAGAAACCCATAGCTCTATATCCCAAAACCATTACATGGCACCAATCTCGCCCACAAAATAAAACACAGACAGAGCATTCATGCACCAGCTGTTTAGTTCCACACTTATTTTCTTACCTGATGCTGGATCAGGGGAGTCCTGCCCCACCTTTCTTCAAACTCTCTTCCCACTGATGTCGCTTTAGAGCGCCTGCCAGGGTCCCAGGGCTGAAGCAACAAGGACAAGAAGGAAGGGTGCAGAAAAAAGCAACCCCCAGCTTCACAAGCCCTCTCTTCTTCTCCTGCTGCAATTTGTTCCAAGTCCCAGGCAGAGACAGAGCTTCACCAGGTAGCGCAACCGGCTCCACGAAGTTGGAGCGACCCCCCCAAAGAGGTCCCCTGCATCGCTCCTCTGCCACCCCCAGAGACAAGCAGGGGAAACCTCATCAATCTGTTGGAAGGGGCCAAACAATCGAGAACGACGGCAAGTTCTACTGCTCACAAAAAGGAGGAAATGATGAAGGAAGCAGACAGTGGAATGTAGCAGAAAGGGGATAGCAGCGGCGGAAGGGACACCTCCCCACTCCAGCCTAACTCCAAGCCATCTTCGCCCTGTTGTCATAGCACTTTACAACGAACACTACTGCGCATGTCACATCCCGCGCCGCGACGCCTTCTGGGGGTTGTAGTCCAGAGTGGTTGGGGCGGCTGCCCCCGGAAAAACGTTTTCTGAGTGGGCCGCGGGTAAAATCAAATTTCTGCTGGTGCAAAGCGGGAACGCATCGCTGATTCGTCCTTATTAGCAAAGAGAAAAAGTAACATAATTCCCTTCTCTGTCTTTGGACAGTTCCTCGCACCCCATTATCTGAGAAGACCCGCACCCCCTCCGGCGCTGACTCGCGGGGGGGTGCTTTCCGCGGGAGCGGGAGGGGCGGGACTTGCGGGCGTCTGGGCCCGGCGCTCAGGGGCCTTCTGCTGCCGGATCGACCTCTTTTCTGGCTCGCGGCGGGCGCGTGGCGCGGTAGCTGGCTCCAGCGTGGCCCCCCAGTAGCGGACTAGGGGGCAGTTTTGCTTGGGGAAACCTAGGTAACTTGCAGAACCTGAGCTACAGGGGACTCAGAACAATTCCTTCTTCAGTTTCCCACCTGAACTAGAAAGGACTAGAACAGGTGTCAAATGAGTCCATTCGTAGAGATTTTTGAAATTTCACATTCACCCCTGTTGTTTTGGTACAAGCTAGTGTGTGTCACACCCTCTGAAATAACTAGTCTGTATTGTTACATTCAAAAGATTATCATTTATTTCTTTAAAACATTTTTATTATAAACAATGCTACAATTTAAAATAAGTGAACGTAAATACACCTAACCCTACCACCCTAAATCAATGATAGGTTTTTTTTTAATGGTCTATCTTCCAGTCTGCATTTGTTGATTTTTTAGATTTTTTTGGTCATCTGTATGTGTTCTGTTCATCCACTTGTTTACTTTTATGTCAGCATTAGTTTGGATTTATGATAATTAATGACTGCATAATATTCTGTATTTATTTATATATAAATAATATATTTTACATGTATTTAATCATCTCCCAAATGTTAGATTTCCAACTTATAAATAACTGCTATAATAAAAATCTTTGTGCAGTTTCTTTTTTTCCCTGGTGAGAATATTAGGTGAAAATATATCAATATCTTCATTCCAAAAGTGATATGTCACCAATAATGTGTAAACGTAGCCATTTGTGGGATAATCATTGAAGATTAAACTGTTCTCATTTAACAAGTATCAAATAGTACATAAGTAACACATTCGTTTGCATATCTTTGATGAATGAGATTGCATATTCTTCCATATGATCTTATGTTAAGACTAAAGAGAAAGGAAATAAAAGATATTAGTAAGGAAAGTCTTTGGGTTCCTAGGAGGTATAGGGGACAACACTGTCTGTGCCTTGTTTCACATGCCCAGAGCCTAGCATTTCCTTGAGGTCTTGTGATATGTTTTATAACAGACGACTAGCATGAAATAATGAGCATTTTGCTAACTCCCATGGTTTCTGTGTATCAGGAGTTCCCAAAGGCCTTAATTTAGCATTTCTCTTCAAGATTCTTATGTGATGTCAGTCAGATAGACTGGAGCAGACAAGGTAGGAGAGGTGGTAAGCCAGCCGGGGCATCTCTAGTCTCAGGGCCTGTCCAGGTGCTCTCTCCTCAGGAGTTAAGTTAAGCTTGCTCAATGCATGCCAGTTGAACAGTTTATATTGCCTCTGAAGACTTCAAGATTTAAAAAGAACCCGGGTAAATTCCTATGAACTTTGCAGACCTCTCATGAGAAAGGATGCAGCATCACTTACCCTACATACTACTGGTTACAGGCAAATCCCATCAACTTTTGCCCATTGAAAGGTAAGTGGAATGGATCCCCAGCACCCACCTCTCCATCAGGACCAGCATCAAGCTCACATTGTAGAACAAGAAGGATGGCAGTTATTATTACAGCCATCTTGGAAAATACAACTATCTGCAACAATAACAAAAGTCACAAGAGACTACCTTATAAAACAGAGACAAGTTACAAATTTGTAGTAGGACCCTTCCAGTCACCCTGATTCTCAGATCCCACCAAAACATCTGCTCATCATCAACATCTGGTATGAAATGGGCTTAAAAATGCTGCTGGTTGAGCATGTAATCAGAGTACAGGGACTTAGCTATTCTTAAAGTTACTTCCTTTAAGAAGAGGCCGAGTCTGGTGAATTTCACCCCTCTTACCACAGACTGTAAATTTCGGGCCTCCCTGGTGGCACAAGGGGTTAAGCACCACACTATGAAGCAATCCGCAGCCTCTGCAGCACAAGTTCGATCCCCATTGGGCCAGGGAGCAAGCACATGGCGCAGCAGACCTCTCCTGTCTCGCCCGCTGCTCCCCTCAGCAGTGTTCTTTGGTCAGTCTGCCTGTTCCGTCCCCCACTCTGTCTCTGGTGAATCCTCTCACGCCCCTGCATCTCTGGCCTGTACCCCAGCTCTTGTATGGTAAATAAACAAATCTTAAGTGTAAATTTTCAGTTTGGGCTTCTAATGGATAACGCTTGAGAACGCAGCCCCATTGCGTTTCCTTCTTTCTCCTTTTCTAGATTCTGCAGGCCAACTTTCTTCTGTAACAACTTCATTACCGCTTTTGCTTCTGATCCCTATCTCCCGGAAACGATATTCTTCTTTTTGACTGGATTTGGAAGGGCTCTCAGGGTGCCACGGCGGCGTCCTCCGCGCCTCGGCTGCCGGCCGCCGCCAGGGGGCGCGCTCTGACTCCAGCACCGGCCGTCCCGGCCGCGGGTCCCGGCGCTTCGGGCGCCAACTCCGGCGGCGCGGCGCTGAGGCGGTCGGCTCGGCCTATCGGGAGGCGGCGGCCGGGCGGCGCCGGCGGGAGCCGCGGCCTAGGCGCGGGCGGCGCGCTGGCGGCGGCGGAAGAGGGCGCTGCGCGGCCGGGCAGGACGGCGCGGCGCGGCACGGCGCGGCCCGGAGGAAGTGCGGGCTCGGCCGCCGCCGCCCCAGCCGCGCGGGCCGCGATGTCGTCCGGGCCGCGGCGCGACGACGCGGGGGCCGGGGGCGCGCGGCGGCCGCGGGAGCCGCCCGAGCAGGAGCTGCTGCGGCGCCGGGAGCAGAAGCGGCGGCGGCACGACGCGCAGCAGCTGCAGCAGCTCAAGCACCTGGAGTCCTTGTGAGTCCCCGCCCGGCGGCCCCGAGCTCCCCGAGGAGGGGGCGAGGCGGCCCCGCGGCCGTGCGCGCCCCAGGCGCGTCCCCCGAGACCCGGGGCGGGGCCCGCGGCGTCCCCCAGCCGAGCCCCGCGCGCGGGAGAGGCCGGCGCCCCGGAGCGGCCCGGCTCGGCGCGAGGCCCCCGAGGCTCGGCCCGGGCTCAGGCTGGCCGCGCGGCGGGGCACCCCCGGAGGCGACGGGTTTTGCTCCCCGAGCTGCGAGGTCCCTGGAGGGCGCCCACTTAGGATGCGGGGGGCGAAGGCGTGCGAGGTTCAGCTGAGCGCCCGGGCCCTTTTCCCGGTCTTTGCTCATTTGTCACCCAAACGGCCCACTGTGACCTGGATCCGTGGATGCCCGGTGCTTTTCACCCTCGGCTGCTGAGAGAGAGAGAAAAGCAGGTGCTGGGACGTTAGTGTGCTGAGGAAAGGAAAGGAAAGGCCAAAGGGCTGTCCCTGCATACTGGCGAGGTGGCTGTCAGTGGAGGCGAGTGCAGAGTGCAACAGGATAAAGGTGGGAACTGCTAAAAGACCAGTTTCTGCTCTGCAATGAGAAGAATTAGGACCACAGTCCTAGGTTCTTGCGGCTCAGATTGGCCTGACCGGAGGCAAGGTGCTCCCCAGATGCAGAGGGACACGGGTAGGTTGTAGAGGAGAATTAAACATCAGGTGGAAGTTTGGATTAATGACATTTCAGTTCTTTCCCAGGATTCTGCTCTGCTGTATTTACCTTTAGAGATCAAATTTATTCTGTTTTCTGAGTTATTCGAGCAATCGTTTCTATTTCAGATACTTTTCATTACCTATGAAAAGACCAGAGAAAGGTCCTGAAAGGGTTAAAATTCTTCATAATCCTCTGGGAGCTTTGACACAACGTGCACACCTTTTGGGAAGCCTGGTCTGCCATAGTGCACTGTGGCCCTGGAGCTGAATTTCAGCTCAGTGGAACAGCGATTGCAGGATACAGGCCCCGCAGTGCTGGAATACACTGCCCAGCCCCTTCAGCACATTTGGTGGCCCTCTTACTATGCAGAGGTCAAAACTCCTTCCTGGGATAAACTCAGTCGGGACTTATCCAGGCCCAGACCTCAGTTTCTTTAACTGTAGATTGCCAGACAATGGATAATATTATGCATTCATTTTATAATCTACAGACATCAGAGAGATTATAACCTCCGTTTGCAGATAAGGAAATGCAGCCTCAAGGGTTAAGTAAGCTGATCAAGGGTACATCACATGTCTACTAGTAAAACTAAGAAAAGGAACCCAGGTGTCTGGTCCCCAGATTTCAAACTTTCTGGACTGACATTTTTGGTTTGGGTAGTGGAGAGACTTACTTGCTTTTAAATAAAATTTGCATCTCCAGAGCAGTATTTTCACATAGATTAAGCATTAAATAATACCGGGACCCCATGATTTCAAAATATTAGTGGTTCATAGTTCATCCCACATATTTCCTGCACCTCTCCCTCCAGCAAAGGTTTCAATGAGGAAACTTTAGTTTTTTTCTTCTGGGATTTAATTATTTCTAAATAATATGCTTGACTTTTTGTTTTTAATTGAACAATAGGCATTACCTGTTAACCTCATGTAATAGTAGTTGAGATCTCTTTCTCTACCCTTCTTATCTCTGTCTTTCCCACATAGTCCCATTATAATTTTTGTTAAACCAATAGTCAGTATTAACATTACTATTCCAGATTTCAGACTGAGACTCAACTGTGTGAGCCAGTGCTCACCTCAGCTGTGTAATATTCCCATACATTTGGGCCCTCTCCAGATAAGTTTCACTGGGAACTCATCCTACAGCCTCTTTCCAGGTGAGGTCACTGTCCTGGCTGTGGGGAAGGAGAATCCTGTGTTTCTACCCACTCAGAGTTTATACTCCCAACTCCCACTTTTCAAAGATTGTAATTTCCTTAACATAGAAGTTCATTACTTTCTTGTACTTTCCATTATCTTCCCAAATGTGCCTTGAAACTGTTCCTTGCTGTTATCTCTTCTCACGATTTCTTTGTGGCTTTTTACCTTTTTTATTCCTTTGCTATCATTTTAAGACTGGGGAAGAAAGACTGTTAAGTAAGTTGGCTGGCCCCATACCATTTTTTTATAGATTGAATTCAAATTCTTTAACCCCTTATTATGCCCTCCTTGTTTTTTACATGCCTCATATATGTCTCCTTTGTTTCTGGTTCCAGGCCCTTGAAGGCATCTGAGCTTTCCATCCATGTGCTAGCTCATGCTCCCGCTTCCTCCTGGGCTATCAGGCTAACAGAATGAAGAGCCTGTGTCTTTGTGGCAATTTACATACTCTACTTACTTTCCAGACCCAGGAGTTAGCTGCATGAATAATAGAAATGGCATGTGCTTACATGAAGGACTCTTCCAAAAGAAATCTTACCCCAGCACTCAAAAACAAAGTATTTTTTAAGTACTTGGCAAAATAATGATTTCTCGCCCCATGCCCACTTGGGAGGATGTTTTTCCTGTATCTAAATTTGGTCTTCATACTGCTCAGAGCAAATTTTTAGTCTAAATGATATAAAAACAAGGCTTCACACTTGTATAAAATAATGGGCCTTCACCAACTTTCTTTTAATTGCAAATATATATACAGACTTGTTGACATTATTCATAACACAGAAGACAAACTACGCATAAATCTACTCCCATTTCCAAATCTAGCTAAATATTTAATCTCTTTAAATTTTGAGAATTATTTTTGTAATATTACTCAATTAATTATTTAGTCCCAGGAAAAAACATTAACCCCTTTCCTTTAAACTTGGAAAAATAGTTGTAACCTGTTAGGAATTACTAGGAATGCCATTACTAATAATAGATTTCAAAATGTGTAGTTCCATCACATTCCTTTTCATCTTGGCAACAACAATTACATATTTTTCAGGAACTTGAATCTCAATTTGATTGCCCATATGTTGTTTGTACAACTGTTGTGGCTCAAAGGAAATATTATTGGATTATTGGACTTACAGATTGTACTGTCAGGAGCCCATAATTTGATTAATGACTGGCTGCAAATGGACTCATACACATTTCCGCTGTTCTTGCTAAGATAGGCCAAGCCTATAACATGCCACAGCTTTCCACTGGAAGTTATTTTAAGTATTTGCTTTGGAAATACCATACCTAACAAGCTAATCCTTATACCCAGTTATTTACTATGTAGTCTTCAAGGAGTGAGTCCTTCCCTGTCCCTTTAGAATAATTCTGAATTAGGGGCTCCCCGGTGGCTCAGTGGGTTGAATACCACTCTGTGAAGCTGTCCGCAGCCTCTGCAGCACAGGTTCAATTCCCAGCCTGCCAGGGAGATTCCCATATGGCGCAGCAGATCTCTCCTTTCTTGCCCACTGCTCCCCTCAGCAGTATCTTCAGTCCGTCTGCCTGTTCTGCTCCCCACTCTGTCTTTGGTGAATTCTCTCACCCTCCTGTGCCTCTGGCATGTATTCCAGCTCTTGTATAAATAAACTAAATCTTAAAAAGAATAACTGAATTAGTGATAGTGAGAATAAGAGCAGAGAAACTTCCATCAGTATCCTTATTTGGAAAGATCCAGAGATGGAGGCAAACAAAGGTCCTTCTTACTGTAGCAACTCCTGGCATTTCTCATCCATCAAGGGAGTGAGGGGAATCTTCCTTCTTCTGCAATCAGAGCACACTAACATTACTACTTTGTTCTCCCATTGTGTAGGGGGTTACCAACACCAAACAGTTTTATTCTTAGAGGACATCAGGTAGAGAGCTTACCAAATTAACTCAAGATACTGTATACCTGTACACTGGAAATAGCATCAGAATCCGCAGGTTAGTGGCTCAGTATCATAGGAGTTACATACATACACAGTCTTGATACCAATCTCAAGTCCACATTACCTTTGTTTTTGACCAAGTGTCTACCAATTGGAACCCCCTCATCATGTTTTATTAATTTAGTAGAGTGGCTCACAGAACTCATACACTTTTCTTACTACTAGGTTACAGGTTTGTTATAAAAGATTTTTACTCAGGAACAGCCAGAAAAACAAGGTATGTGGGGAGGGTCACAGAGTTCCCACACCCCCTCGAGGTGTGCCACAGCGCCACATGTTTACTCGTTTTTTTATGGAGGTTTCATTCCATAGCCATTGGTGACTAGTTCAGCCTCCCAGGAGGTGGGGTGCAAGATCAAACTTCCATAATCACCTGCTTGGTTCCCCAGGGGCCTTGGTTCCCCAGCCCCTATCTTAGGGATTTTCCAAAAGTCACTTCATTCACATAAACACATTGTGGTTGGTTGGGTCTTGTTATGAATAACAAAAGAAACTTTTCACCTTTATAGTTATAGAGCTTTTGCAGGAACTGGGAACAAAAGTGTATAACAAAAGATGCCACTGTGCCTTTTTTTTTTTTTTTTTTTTTTAGATTTATTTATTTTATTTATTTGTACAAGCACTGGGTACAGTCAGAAGTGCAGGAGGGTGAGAGAATTCACCAGAGCCAGAGCGGGGAGCACAGCAGGCAGAAGGACCAAAGTACACTGCTGAGGGGAGCAGTGGGAGGCAGGAGAGGTCTGCGCGCCATGTGGGACCCTCCTCAGGTGACCGGGGAGCAGCCGGGGATTGAAACGGCGCTGCAGAGGCTGCGGGCAGCTTCGCAACCCAGTGCTCAACCGCTGCGCCACCGGGGAGGCCCTGCCCTTTTTTTTTTTAAGGACAATTTTTTATTTTTATAGGGAACAGGCAGCAGTATACACTTAGCCCAATTTGATGGCAAATTCTTTAATCTTCACCTTTTCCAGTTTGGCAACGCGAGCCACAGATTTTGGACCCAGGACATTGATTCCCCCAGTGACAGCTGATCTCATCATATCCGTCATCCTAATTGGCCCTGAGAGCTTCTACCAGCTTAGCCAGGGCTCTTTTGTCTTCTCAGTTAACCTGTGTGAGGCAACAATAGTGCAAGTCTTCCTGTGGACTAGATGCCCCAGCCTGCAATGTCTGAGAGAGGAAATTTTAGGGAAAATTAGATTCAGGACAGTACCGGTACATAAATCAAATAGTACTGAAACTCTGGATATAAATTGTTCCTGGAGTCTTGTTCTCCAGTTACAAGCATGATGCTAGAATAATTACTGGATTCAGCTAAACACTTATGGAGGATCCTGTACAGGTGAGGATTGGCACAGAAGATAGCAGGTGGGCACTAAGCTGTGTGCCCTTGTACAGGTTACTTGACCTAGCATGATTATTAGTATAGGAAATATACCGCTAGCCTAGAATAGCAATTGCAACTCAATGTTTTTGAGTATTTGTCCCAATTCAGCCTCTTGCTGGCATAGCCTCTATTTGACCATTGCTAAAATGGGTCACTGGCCTGCCCTCTTCTTGTTCTGAGATTCTAGCATTATAGTTTAATAGCTATAAAAAGCATATTCTATGAGTTTCAGAGTAGATCTAGATACACTTGGCGAAAGGCAGTGATCCCTAGAACCACACTAGGAGGGGGGTTCTCTGATTCACATGGCTCAGAAAGAACATAAGCCCAGCTGGGGAAGATGTCTGCCAGATCTGTGCCCACTTCTGTTTAGGAGCAGCTTGTGACTCTAAAGCTATGTAAAAGCTGGCCTGGGTTGGCTGGACCTCTCTGTTGGTCCAGATCTTGGCCCCTGTAATATGAGGCCTCCAGTGTTGAGCTGCCTCAAGATGTTGCCAAGAGTATCACCTCCCTTCAACGAAAGAGGCAGAAACAGTGCCTTTCACAAATGTACTGTGAAATAATGACCCATGGGAAAATTGAGACTCAGGTTAAGTTCTTGCACAAAGTACCCAGCTGTGAGAATGAATCAGAATTCAAATCAAGAATTTTTGTTTACCTCCGAAGCCCAGTCACACTGATTTGGAAATGGAAAATGTTCTGGCTGGAATTTGGGGTCTTCCAAACTGTCTTTTATTGGGACAGTTTTATAAAGAGTGTCAAATAACAAAACTAACACAATTTAGTAACAAATTTAAGGCCCATTATTCAAGGGAAGACTGTCCATGAATTGGGTGACAACCAGGCCTCACAAGCATGGTTGTGGGGAGCACCCCCAACTAGGGATTTGGGGCAAGAGTGTGTTTTATAGACTATTAGAAGAGGCAACTTGGAAACAGGGCTTGATTGGCCTGGAGGATTTCCTTATTGGGGTTGGTGTCCTATTTTCTAGGGGAGGTATTAAGTTGGCGAAAGCTGAATTAGAGGATTGTGATCAGCATTAGGTTTCCTTGACAGGAAGGTGTTTCCCTTTCACACAGACTGACTTATCTGTACATATGTGAGTTGGAACAGGACATTGTGGCAGCCTCCTTTGCCTGGCTCCCAATATACAAATTACCTTTAGCAAGAGTGACATGGGCATTTCTGAGAGCACTTTTTATGTTTTTCTAGATTTCATTAGGATATTTATGCCCTTAGTTCTCCTTTCTGGTACATAGCATTGTGCCTGGTATAAACATTGCTAACTGGTTATTTATGCAAGGAGTTAAGTTTTTAAATTGAACCTTCGGTGTCACCTGTAAATTAAATTTAATTTGGCCTCTTGAACCTCTTCCTTTTTGGTAGAAGAAAACTTAACAAATTAGTGAGAGGTAGAATAGGATTTAACTCTTCAAACAATCACAGAAATATTGTTGAACTTTTAAAACAAAAATGCAGCATTTGTTATTCTATAGCGGAAATGAGTACTTAATAGCATAGTTTGATCCCCTTTTCCTTAATTGCACATAACCTTTGGGTTTTTTTGGTTTTCTTTGGAGAGATATTAATCTGGGCTTACACCAGGTTAATTAGTGTAAAGAAGTTAATACTGGTTTCATTTTTCTTGTGTAACTAAAAAGCATTGTTTCAGGTTATATATTTACATGTACATAAATGTAAGTGGGGAAAAATGTCAGTAAAAAAATAAAACTCCCTCCTTTGTACCCTTCCAGAAGAATTCTATTCATGGAAAGGCATGTCTGTGTGTATTTAATGTGTATAATTTCCTTTATCACGTAATCTAATAAAGGAAACCACTGTTCTGTACTATACTTCTTTTTTTAATTTAAACTATTTTGGAGATTGTCATACATTAGTTTAGGGATAATTTTTTTTAAGTTTTTTTTTATATATATATTTTTAAGTTTATTTATTTATTTATACAAGCACTGGGTACAGTCAGAAGCGCAGGAGGGTGAGAGAATTCACCAGAGCCAGAGCGGGGAACAGAGCAGGCAGAAGGACGGAAGTACACTGCTGAGGGGAGCAGCAGGCGGCAGGAGAGTTCTGGCGCCATGTGGGACCCTCCTCCAGTGGCCGGGAGCAGCCGGGGGATCGAACTGGCGCTGCAGAGGTTGCGGGCAGCTTCGCAACCCAGCGCTCAACCGCTGCGCCATCGGGGAGGCCCAGTTTAGGGATAATTAATATATATTTGATTACTAGATAAATGACTTATTTTAACATTTATATCTTTCTGATATTAAAAGTAAGACATTTTCGCTCTCTGTTCTCAACATCTGGATAGCATGTTTCCAAGTTATTTGGGTCTACACAATTTTAAACTAGCCACAGTGACTAAATGCCCACTTTCAGTACAATGTTCCCAATAGATGCATTGAAAATACATAAGATGTTCATTGTCCTACTGCTTTTTTCATTGTTGTTGGGGATAGAGGACTAGACATTCATATTTAAATCCAAATTCCCATGATTGACTAGCTTGACACAGTAACCAGTAGTGTGTCGATAGTTAAAAATGAGCATGATTACACCTACCAGGAATATGTCAATGTTATATGTCAATTATATCTAAAAAATAGTAATTTTTTTAAATGAACAAGAGCATTTGGTGGTGATTTTTCCAGATCTGGGGTCCAGCATCCTTTCTAGCAGTTTCAAAGAATGATGGAAAGTGAAAATGAAGTCCTTGAGAGCTTGGGCATGAATTGTATACTCAGAATCCCAGGGGTCTGAGAGCTGTTAGTGAAAGGGAAAGTAAGTTCCACGCAGTCCTTCATGTACTTGATCTAATAGTATTCTTCACTGGATGGCAGTGTCATCCCAGTATTGTGCAGGGGTCCTTCACCCCAAGTGCATCAGGATCAGTACAGGCATCGAGGGTGGTCAGACAACTCAGCAGAGGACACCCTTTCCAGGTGGGGTACATGGAGAGTATCCTGAATGCCTCTGCCCCAAACTTCTTCAGGGTTGGGTAGGTGGAGTTATGCTAGGTAAATATTTGACATCACAATGAAAGTTTGCAACTATAAATTCCTCATGGGCCTTCTTACCTCACATTTTTCCTGCAGTCTCTTGCTTTCCCTTCCAAAAATAAAATCCTGATGCTAGGACATCATGTTAGTTATTTCAGTGAATTTAAGTTCTAAATCTAAGTAGGAGGTAGTATAGTATTAGTTCATTTATATGAGGTATCTGACTGCTAGGCACATTTTGTTAACTATTTTAGACAATGTAGCGTTTCAAGCTCTTACTAAAAATATCCTTTCTCTTTTGGCCTAAAGTTGCTTTTGTTTATTAAAATATATCATATTCCTTTTAATGTGGTTGATGATGGATTTTTTTTTTCCTTTCTAGTTACGAAAAACCTCCTCCTGGGCTTATCAAGGTCAGTGTGAAGTTTGTACGTGTGGTTATCTTCTTAGACATAATTAACTCGTAATTGTGCTCAGGCACAATAAGTTGTTATAAAAAAACAATTCTAAAAGTTTTTGAATACCCTTTATGATAACCCTGATCTTCCCTGCAGATGCCAGTCAGTCATACATGATGGGGTTTTCACAAGCCTGTGCCTTTGTAGAATTTTAATCAGCCATGTGTCTGTCCCCTAAGAAGCCTCCAGGCCCTCAGCGAGATCCTCAGTGAGATCCTCAGCAACCGCCCCCCTTCTCTCTCTCAGTTGTGACTGCATCTTTTGCAAGCTGTGCTGTGCCATTTCTGCTGTCTCTCCCCGGGCCAGCTTCCTGAATGTCATCAGCTCAGAGAATAGTAGACGCAGACATTCAAGCATGTCTTTCTGTGAGAGTGAGACTTAGAAGAGTCTATTTGATAACTTTCAAAATATTTACTATAAGGGCCTCCCTTGGTGGCGCAGCGGTTGAGTGCTGGGCTGTGAGGCTGCCCGCAGCCTCTGCAGCGCCAGTTCGTTCCCTGGCCACAGGCGAGGGTCCCACAAAAAAAAAAAATTAATATAAGCATTTTTTCACTATAAATTTAATATTCATGTAAACTAGAAAAAGATCAGAAGGTTAAAAAAAAACCCACCTCAATTGTTTAATGCAGTTACTTGCTAATCAAAATACACTTTATAAATACAGCATGTGTGAGTGTCATAACATAACAGTGGCTTTCAAGGTATAAGTTATTTTAATTTTAATGTGTTATTTTTACTACTCCAGAAAACCTCAATGTTTAATTTTAGACTTTACTTCATTCTACACAACTTTTAAGCTAGCAGAAAACTTTGTGATCTTAAAATCTAATTTTTGTGATCTAGAATCAGAATTTAGGGCTCACAAATCATTCCTATGTGAACAACACTAGCAACTCTTCCCTAAGAATAGCTACAGCATTTTCATGGTACAGTTCCTCTGCTATATTTCTTTCTGTTGCTTCTGTCAGATATAATTTTTGTTTCATTCTAGCTCATGAGATGGCAATTTACGATGATGATGTTGGGATCTCCCATCCATGAGAAATCCAGGGGATGTTGTTTCTGAAGCAGGAGGAAACAAACTCTGGTGTTTTGTTGTCATGTTGTTTATATGGTGTTTCCTTTTTTCAGGAAGATGAGACTAAGCCAGAAGACTGTATACCAGATGTACCAGGCAATGAGCATGCCAGGGAGTTTCTGGCTCATGCACCAACCAAAGGGCTCTGGATGCCACTGGGCAAAGAAGTCAAAGTTATGCAGTGTGAGTATGGAGAGTTTCAAGTAACACCCCCCAGCACACACACTTCATAAATCACAACTGGCAAAGCGTCTTTACTTCTCTGATTTAGTTTCCTCTTACCAGAGGACTGTTAGAGTCATGGTATGCTCTTTTTTTTATGATAAGAAAGCCAACTTTCTGTGTTAGTAAGTGATCTAAGGTAAGGGATTGAGCATCTTTCTGAAGATAGTTAGTCCCATGCTATCTGTCATCCAAGAGCCTTCCTTCCCCATCATTCTGTAGAGTCCTGTAACCGCCCCTGTGTTGGATCGTCAGTCTCTTATATCTTAGATCTCTGTTGTAAAAGGGAGAATGATACAATTCAACCTATAATACAATATAAGTAAAAATATAATACATATATCGAAATATAGGGGAAAACAATCACTGTTTTTCTTGGGACTGCTTGGTAAGTACTTGGTTCATTTCTAAAACTCTTAAGATTACAGAATGCTTGAGGAAGTAGTTTCCCTCTTTTCTTGGATCTTACCTTGTTCATCCACTGATGCCATTTGCTTTCAAAATTGGATTTTGGTAACTGCGATCTACTGATACTTTATCTTAATTGAGTAAAAATGTACTCTTTTACAGAAATATATCCCTTTTTCTTTGTTTTTAGGTTGGCGTTGTAAACGGTACGGTCACCGAACGGGCGATAAAGAATGCCCTTTCTTTATCAAAGGCAACCAAAAGTTAGAACAGTTCAGAGTAGTAAGTAAAACCCCAGAATGTCAATTTCCATTTACCAGCGAGGATAAATGTTGGTGAATCAAGCAGACACCAGTGCACTGGGGGCTCACATAAAATACATTCCCAGAAGACTTTTGACTGAAGTATCTGTTGTTAACTAACTACATCGCTGTTAAACTGAATTTGTGTGACAGATTACTTCGTTAACAAAAAACTGACATCAATTAAAGTGTTACTTGTTTATGCCTTGGGAATAGTTCATCCTTTTTCTGAAGCAGACATTGTTTATCTATTAAATCACTTTTTTATTAAATGTCCTCTTTAAATAGATCTGTCATTTCCTCACTTTATTTTAACATAATCACCTATATCTAAGACATTTTAAATATTGTGCTTTCATTTTAATCTGAAGAAAATATTCTGGTTAAGTCACTGCTAGCTGGAATGTCCATTTTTATAGCTCTCATAGCAGATTATTTGGTGATAAATCTCAAAAACCTAAACATAAGCATATTTTTATAAGTCAGAATCCAAATTCCAAGAATTTATCCTAAGTATATACAGAACATCAGTATATACAAATTGTTATGAATGTATTATGATAATTTCAAAATTATTTATATGGAAAATTAGAAACTAAAGAAAAATAGGAAACAAGTTCAGTCACCAACCTACCACATAAATCACTGTGACAAAGAAATATAACTTTTGAGAATTACGTTTTGAAAGAATGTATAATGTCATGAGAAGGCATCCATGTAAACCTAAGGGAAGAGAATGGAGTTGCATGTATAATATGATTATACATTTTTCACAAATTATGAATAATAACTGGGACATGCACACTAAAATGTTAGCAGTGATTATCCCTGGGTGCTGAGCTAACAGATGTTTTTAACTTAATTTTTCCTTTAGCATGAAAGATTTTTACAAGTATGTTTACACATAACTCACATACTATAAAATTCATTCTATCTATTTGTATATTCAAAAATTTAAGTATGATTTTAAATGATGCAAACATTGCAAGAATACATTTGCTTTATTTTAACAAAATGAAGCATTATAATTGATTTTTCAGGTCCAGGCTTACCTCTCTTTCCTCTTTTGTAGTAAGTAGCTTGGTAACCATACTTATACACTTCTATGGGGAATATACATATTTTTAAGTACCTATAAATGGGTCATTTGTACATGTCATTTCAGCCCACTTGTTTTGCAATAGTATCACCTGATCATTTGTCCACATAGAACAAAAAGAAAAACCTCAGTATTTTCTTTTTCCTTTTTTTTTGGGGGGGGGACCCTCACCGGTGGCCGGGGATCGAACTGCCACTGCAGAGGCTGCGGGCAGCCTTGCAACCCAGCGCTCAACCGCTGCGCCACCAGGGAGGCCCCTCAGTATTTTCTAAACTAAGTAATACTGCATAATGATTCTCCTATGGTTTTTTCTTTAAAAAGTTATTTTTTTAATTCTTGACATACCATTATTTTACGTCCTTGTTTGTTTTTTCACAATATAGGTTTTCTCCCTTCCAGTGTGTATAAAAGCTATTTAAATTATATCCTTTATTTGTATATTTGGAAGTACGTTTTTTATAGCTTCCATGAGTTTGAAGTGATGGTGACTCAGGGAAAGGATTAGACCATGTTTTGTTAGAATTTATGTTAGACTATAAAATTATACCAAATAGGAAAAAAACTGGTTTCAGTGAAAGAGGGATTTAGTTTTAATTTAACTTAATAATCAATGAAATAGAACTCAACCTTAACTTTCTCTAACCCTCAAGGCACATGAAGATCCCATGTATGACATCATTCGAGAGAATAAACGACATGAAAAGGATGTGAGGTAATCTTGTCCTGATAACTATCCTCTTAAAGGTTGAAATTATATAAAGGTGGAAATGACCATTTCATTATTACATGAGTGGTAAAGTAAATATTTGGTGGGCAGGAATAATCACTGAAACAGCCAAAAGTGAGGGAATGAATAGGCAGCCTCATTCTACTTGGGTTACCTTAAGTAGTGGGTTTCACCTTGCCCATACCCAGCATTGAGAGTTGATGTAGACAACTATAACTTAGCTTATAAAAGTCATTTCTTATCCCCTTATTACAGTATGTTATAAATGTTCTATTTTATTATTAGTTACTCTTACTAATCTCTTACTATGCCTTATTTATAAATTAAATTTATCCCAGGTCTGTGGGTATATGGAAAAATGTAATATATATAAGATTTGGGTCTATCCATTATTTCAGGAATCCATTGGAGGTCTTAGAACAGACTCCCTTTAGACAAGAAGAGATGCCTGTAACTTCTCCAGTGTCTTTTAAGATCTGAGCTTTTGTTAAAAGTTCTTAGATAAGATTAAAGATAGGGAGAAATATAGAAAGGCTTTTCTCAAATGTGTTATTGAGATAATTATTAAGGATATAAATGACCTACTGTAAACTTGAGCGGTGGGAAAATGATTTAGGATAGTATGCATCTGTTAGCATTATAGTTGTAAGGACTCTAGAAACATGCAGAAATATTTTGGACAATGAAAGGATTAAAAATGACTACACTGGTTGTAGCCATGTAAAATAGGCATGTATGTACACAAGAATGAGGAAAACATGCAAAATTTAAAATAAGCACTGTCTTTAAAGGGGTGGCTATTTGTGGTATTTTTTACTTCCTCTACTGCTCTTCTATTTTTTATGGTAAAAAGGGGTTTTAAGGTTAAATAATGTTCTCTGAGCAACCTTTGTATGTTTAGGATACAACAGTTGAAACAGTTACTGGAGGATTCTACCTCAGATGAAGATGAGAGCAGCTCCAGTTCCTCAGAATGTAAAGAGAAACACAAGAAAAAGAAGAAGAAAGAAAAGCATAAGAAAAGGAAGAAAGAAAAGAAAAAGAAGAAAAAACGAAAGCATAAGTCTTCCAAGTCAAATGAGAGCTCAGACTCAGATGAATAAGAGAGACAGACACTGAGAGGAGACTATTTGGGGTCAGCATGTGAATTCTCACCTTCCAGTAAAGATGTGACCCACCAGAGAGAGTCGTGTCTCCCAGGTGCTAGCTCTGGACAGCTGCCTTTTTCAGTATCATCCTCCCTGATGCTCACTGGGCTTTCGGATTCCTTTTGGAAACCATGCAAAGGTGAGGAGGGCAGATTTCACAGTTGGCGGGCCCTCACCTTTGCACTCACAGCTGCAGTTGCAGGACATGACACAGGCTCAGGGTGCAACAATATAGTTTATGAAGGAGTGAGAAAGATAAAATGGGAGAAAAGAAATAGGCAGAGCCAGAGACAGTAGCAATGGTCAGGTGATGGTCTGAAGCAGAGATAAGGCTTGAAGGTCTCTGTGAAGAGCCTTCCATAGGTGGAGCCACAGTAGCAGCAGTAATCGGAAGGCTGAGCTGGGCAGCACTGGATGATAGACTGGAAATCGCTAGAGGCAATAGCACCAGGAGGCAGTGCTGGACATGTCAATGGCAAGGACCAGTGTTGCAGCTCTTAGAGATGACTGGACACAAGCCAACATCAGGCACAGGCCAACAATGTCATTCAGCCGATGATATTGGAGGCAGGGTCAGAGATGAAGTCTGCAAAGTTCTTTCCAGGAGAGATTCCAGATCAGTCTTTTGCAGCTCTCTGAAGCCCAGCTTACATCCCCTTCAGAGTATCCACCTTTCAAACCTGATTGGTCAGTCTTTCTTGATTGGTGCAAGCTCAAAAATGATTGGTTCCCTTGGGAGCTCCAGTCATATTGGTCCATTTATAATCCCAGCTATTGATTGTGCCAGTTGAGCTCCACTCAGATTGGTCCATTTTCAGTACCATGTCAGTTTCAAACAGACTGCATCAGTGCATCCAACCTGACCTATACTGACCAAACAACTTTGAATGGCCTCTGCCGTGTGCCTGGACTAAGGGCATCTCTGAAGAAGTTCCTCCAGGTGCTGCCACAGCTTCATAGTGGGGCTACTTAATTAAGACTTCAGGTTGTCTTTTCTGTATTGTGAGGATAATAAAAGCTTATTATTTATTTTTTAAATGTATTTACTTTTTCCTTCTAAATAATACATGTGTGTACACCATATTTAAAAGGCATACCGGTTTAATCATGAAAACTCTTCCCTTCTTCCCTAGCTACTTAGTTCCCTTCCCAATTGGCTACCAATTTTACAGTTTCTTTGTGAAGTCTTCCAGAAAATTTTGTATATGACTAACAAATACATATATATATATCCTGCCCATCTATGACTAAGCAGATGCCTCTCTCCCTTTCCTAGTAACCCCAGCATTCTAAAGTGTAAAAAAATAAAATGTTAGACTGAAATGACAATTTAGATTCCCCTTATGGAGATGATAGCATTGCTGAACAATCTCATTTAAGATTTCTGAATATCCTTGTTTGTCTTCCAATAGACTTAGTGATCACTTGGTTCAAACAAAGCAAACACACTTAGAATACACACTTTGTACAAAGTAATTGTGTTAATAATCAGTTTACAAATAACTCAATCTGTCTTAAAGTTGACTAAATTAATCTAAACCCTATGATTGGGCCTCTCTGGTGGTGCAGGGGTTGAAGTCTCAGCACTACCAAGCTATCGCCAGCCACTGAAGCATGAGTTCAATCCCCAGCCAGGGAGCTAACCCATGTATGGCACAGCAGACCTCTCCTGTCTTGCCCTCTACTCTGCTCAGCAGTGTATTTCAGTAGATCCACCTGTTCTGCTCCCCACTCTGTCTCTAGTGAATCTTCTCACTCCACTGCACCACTGGCCTACACCCTACTTACCATATGCATAAACAAATCTTTAAAAAAAAATAAACTTCTATGATCTGCAAAGTAAAGAGAGAAGTGGGGGGCCTCCCCGGTGGCGCAGCGGTTGAGCGCTGGGTTGCAAAGATGCCCGCAGCCTCTGCAGCACCGGTTCGATCCTCGGCTGCTCCCCGGCCACCAGAGGAGGGTCCCACATGGCGCGCAGACCTCTCCTGCCGCCCACTGCTCCCCTCAGCAGTGTGCTTCGATCCTTCTGCCTGCTGTGCTCCCCGCTCTGGCTCTGGTGAATTCTCTCACCCTCCCGCGCTTCTGACTGTACCCAGTGCCTGTATAAATAAATAAATAAATCTTAAAAAAAAAGAGAGAAGTGGAAGTAACAACATTATTACAAGAAGGAGTTATGAAGTATTAGGACATGCATCCTGCTTTATCACATGCTAAAGTTTGCTTTACACATTTGCTGGGGCCACGTTGAAATGTAGGTCACAGGAGGAGGATGCTCAAGCACTCTGTGATATTAATGGAATCCTTTAAAAGTCTTGTTATTTTTTTCTAGAATATGCACATACGATCTTGCACATCTCATGCTTGTATTAAAACGAAAAAGCTAACATTTTCCCCAAGAAATCGATCATTCTATATCCCCAAAATCATTACATGGCATCAGAGGATAAATCTTGCTCACCAAATAAAATACAGTAAGGGCATGCAGGCACTTGATGGTTAGGTAATTCCAGACTTATTTTCTTTCCGGATGCCTGGTCATCCACAGGTGGGCCGTGCACACTTTTCTGTGAGCCTTTTTTCTGCAGCTTTCCCTTGAAGAAAGACTGCTACAGTTCCAAGGTTGGAGCAAGGAGAGCAAGCATACAGAGTGCAGAGAAAAGCAACCCCTACTTCCTTCTTATTCTCTACAATGTGTTCCACATCTCTGGCAAAGGGAGACTAACCAGGCAGCACCACTGAGTGATCCCCGAAAAGAATGTCCCTTTATTTCTCTGTCACCCCTGGATGGAACAGGGGAAACTGAATCAATCCCTTGGAAGACACTAGACATGGGAATAAGTCCTGTTGATCAAGGAAAGGAAATGATATAGAATGCGAAGAGTGGGATGTAGCAGAAAAATGACTGTAGTGGAAGCTCACCATCCTTCACATCTTCACATTGTTGTCACAGTTGTTTTAGAAAATACATAAAATTTATCAGTGATATAAAATTTATCAGTGTAACTGTTTAAAGTTTCTAGTGCAGTAGCTTTAACTATATGCACATGGTTGTGCAGCAGAACCCTAGGACTTTTTCATCTTGCAAAACTAACTTTGAATTAACTCCTCCACTCCTCCTTATCCCCAGCCCCTGATAATCACCTTTTCCCTTTCTGTTTCGCAGAGTAGCTGCACCAATGTACATTTCTACCAACATTACACAAAGGTTCCTGTTCCTCCACATCCTTGCCAAAATGTGTAATTTTCTGTTTGTTATTTTTTTTTTTAAAGTGGCCATCCTAAATGTGTGACGGTGATATCTCACTGTGACTTTGATTTCCATTTTCCTGAAGATTAATGGTGTTGGAATATCTTCTCATATGTTTATTGGCCATGTAGTCACATCTTTTGCCCATTTTTTAAAAGATTTATTTATTTATGCATACAAGAGCTGGGGTACAGGCCAGAGATGCGGGGGGTGAGGATCCCCCAGAGACAGAATGGGAGGCAGAGCAGGCAGACTGACTGAAATACACTGCTGAGGGGAGCAGCGGGCAAGTCAGGAGAGGTCTGCTGTGCCATGTGGGTTGCTCCCTGGCGATGGGGGGGTCGGGAGGGGGGGATATTGAACTCGTGCTGCAGAGGCTGTGGATTGCTTCATAGTGCGGTGCTTAACCCCTTGTGCCACCAGGGAGGCCCTCTTTTGCCCATTTTAAAAACTGGTTATTGTTTTTTTTTTGTTGTCATACTTGGTCTTTACATATTCTGAATATTAACTCCTTATCAACTATATGGCTTACAAACATTTTCTCACTTACTGTTGGTAGCCTTTTCACTGCTGGTTTCTCAGAGCACAGTACAGTCTGTGCTACTGAGCACATCAGACCTCCAGGCTGCAATGCCTTCTGGGGGTTGTAGTCCAGAGTGGCTACGGAGCATGGAAAGCAGAAGGGGGCGTTTTCTCAGTGCTTGGAATCATCCGGATGGACTGAACCACTGCTAATCCCTCATTAGCAGAGCGGGCTAATTAATACAACCTCTTACTGTGTTTTTGGACAGTTCCTGGAACCCAGCAGGTGGGGAACACAGCACTCCAGCCCGCCTGGGACGAAGGCCACGCCTCTTTCTGCCCTGACCCCGCCCCCTCTGCAATTATGGGCGGGGCTTCCGCGGGGGCGGGGCCAGGCGGCGCGGGCGGGGCTTCCGGGCTCCCCGCGGGTCTGCGCTTCGGAGGCCCCGCAGCCTCCCAGCGGCCTCTCGCTTCTGACCCGGAGGCGCGCGCGGCTCTGTCCATGGATCGCGCGGCGGTGGCCAGGGTGGGCGCGGTGGCGAGCGCCAGCGTGTGCGCCCTGGTTGCGGGGGTGGTGCTGGCTCAGTACATATTCACCTTGAAAAGGAAGACGGGGCGGAAGACCAAGATCATCGAGATGGTGAGTGCTGGGGATCGGGGCGCCCCATGGGCTGCGGGGCTGCCCTGCTGGCCTCGCCTTCCCGCGCCGCCAGCGACGAGTTTGCGGGGCGCACGGGGGACCCCGAAACCTCGTGGGCTGCGAGCTTGCGGGCCCGGTGTCGCGGTCGGACGACGGCGCACGGGTTGCCATGGCCTTTGTTACTGCCTCCATTGGAAACTGCAAGGCAGCAAATAGATGATTCTGAAATAAGCCACCTCCTGCTGCAGAACCCGTTTCTCCAGAAATTGCATGTTTGGGGCAGGTGGCTCCCTTTTTCCTGTATTTCCCAGAGTTCTTTTTGCATCCGATCTGGAAAGGTGCAGCTTCTTTAGTGGTTAAAAGAATGCCAATCAACCCAGTGGGAGTTGAGAATAGTTTGCTTTGTACTTGACTGTTACTCTCTCTTGACTCTGCCAGCAAGTATCTGTGTTAATTGCACCCCAAACCTCTTGCATAATACTTTTAGAATTTTGTGTCATATTTTATTGAGTGTCAGGAATTTCATTTGAGGTACATTAGAAGCAATATTTGCTCCCAATTTGGAGATGTTTTTCGTGTGTGTGTGTGTGTGTGTGTGTGTGTGTGTGTGTATAGGTGTTTAATTAGAGCCCACTCATCAAGGCAGATCACTCACTGAGTTGCTTTCTAAAGGACTTGTGGGATACATAATCCCTGGTATACACCCTGTAGTGTGTTACACTGAAACCATCCAACAACCGCCCTAGTTTCCGTAGATTTCTCTTCCTGACGCCCAAAACCTCTTTGAGATTGCTAATTAATTTGTCATAGTCAATACACTTTATTTTTAAATATTTTATTTTTACATTTTTTTTAAAGATTTATTTATTTATTTATTTATACAAGCACCGGGTACAGTCAGAAGTACGGGAGGGTGAGAGAATTCACCAGAGCCAGAGCGGGAAACAGAATACACAGACCAACGAAGCACACTGCTGAGGGGAGCAGCGGGCTGCAGGAGAGGTCTGCAAGCCTTGTGGGACCCTCGCTGGTGGCCGGGGATTGAACTGGTGCTGCAGAGGCTGCTGGCAGCTTCGCAGCCCAGCGCTCAACCGCTGCGCCACCAGGGGAGGCCTTATTTTTACATATTTTTATATTTCTTGTTTATTTATTCTTTTCCCACCGTTATCCCTTTGACCTTTCCTCCCCCATAACTTCATAAACCTCACTTCATATCCACTAATTTTTATAAATTCTTCACTTTGGCAAATAGTCTACTGAGTTTCAGGTCTTATAGCTAGATCTTTAATCCATTTGGAATTTATTTTTGCACATGAACTAAGAGTGATCCAATTTCACTCTTTTGCGTGTGGCCTTCCAGTTTCCTTAGGATCATTTATTAAAGAGGCTTTCCTTTCTCAATTCTATGGTCATGGCTGCTTTATCATAAATTAAGTATTGATTGGTACGGGATTTATTTCTGGAATTTCAGTTCTGTTCTGTTGACCCATGTGTTCTTTTTATGCTGGTACCATCAGTTTCTTTATGTAGTTTAAAGTCAGGAAATGTGATGCTTCTATTTCTCTTGGGATTGCTTTTGTTATTCAAGAACTTTTATGGTTCATATAGATTTTGATTTTTTTTTTTTTAAGATTTGTTTATTTTTATACAAGAACCGGGGCACAGGCCAGAGGTACAGGAGGGTGAGAGGATTCACCAGAGATTGAACAGGAGCAGAACAGGCAGATGGACGGAAACACACTGCTGAGGGGAGCAGCAGGTGAGACAGGAGAGGTCTGCTGCGCCATGTGGGAATCTCCCTGGCGGGCCTGGAATCGAACCCTCACTGCAGAGGCTGATGACAGCTTCACAGTGCTGCGCTAAACCTGGCGCCACCAGGGAGGCCCGGATTTCAATATCTTTTGTTTTGTTTCTTTAAAGAATGTTGCTGGTATTTCAATGGGGATTGTGTTAAATTTATATATCACTTTAGGTAGAACAGTCATTTTTTATTATATTGAGTCTCCCCATCTGTGAGCATGGGCTGTCTTTCCTTCTCCTTGTCACTAACTCTTCTAATGTCTTCTAATTCTTGTATAGGTTCATTTTGTTGTTTGTTTTTTCTTTAATCTTTTTTTGACATGTGCCTTACTTTTTTTTTTTTATTTAAAGATCCAGGTCCACTGTCTTGTATAACTTCTATTTTTTTCTTTTCTTTTTTTATTAAGGTAACATTGGTATGCAACACTATATGTATATGATTTAGAGGTATAGGTTCACAATTTGCAGATATGTATTACCAGACCAACCCCACCACCTAGGCTCCTCCACGATAGTCGATTGGGGGTCCCTTCCACACCTTGCTTCCTATTCCCTCCCTCCCCTTTGGTAGCCTCAGTTCTGCAGTTAGATTTCTAGGGTTTGTTTAGCTTTGGTTTTGTCTGTTCCTTTGTTTTATTTCTTTATATTACACATATGCATGAAATCATCTGGTATTTGTCTTTCTCCTTCTGACTTATTTTACCTACTGTGTTGTTGCAAATAGAAAGATTTCATCTTTTTTTCTTTTTTTAGCTGAGTAGTATTCCATTGTGTATATATACCAAGTTTTCTTAATCCACTCATCTGTTGCTGGGCACAAAGGTATTTCCAGGGCCTCCCCGGTGGCGCAGCGGTTGAGCGCTGGGTTGCGAAGCTGCGCGCGGCCTCTGCGGCGCCGGTTCGATCCCCGGCTGCTCCCCGGCCACCAGAGGAGGGTCCCACATGGCGCGCAGACCTCTCCTGCCGCCCGCTGCTCCCCTCAGCAGTGTGCTTCGGTCCTTCTGCCTGCTCTGCTCCCCGCTCTGGCTCTGGTGAATTCTCTCGCCCTCCCGCGCTTCTGACTGTACCCAGTGCATGTATAAACAAAACAAACAAACAAACCAGCAAACAAATAAATAAAGCATGCCTCTATAAAAAAAAAAAAAAAAAAAAACAAAGGTATTTCCATAGCTTGGCTGTTGTAAATAGTGCTGCAATTAATATAGGAGTGCATATCTTTAAATTAGTGTCCTTGCATTCTTTAGGTAGATAGCTAGGAGTGGAATTGCTAGGTTAGATGATAGGCCTATTTTTAATATTTTAAGAAACCTCCTTACCTTTTTCCATAGGAGATGGACTAGTCTGCATTCCTACCAACAGTGTGCGAAGGTTTCCTTTTCTCCACATCTTTGCCAATGTTTGTGGTTTCTGGTCTTTCTGACATGGACTATTCTCACTGGTGTAAGATGGTATCTCATTGTGGTTTGAGTTTGCGTTTCCCTGATGAGAAGTGATGATGAGCATTTTTTTTCATGTGCCTGTTGGCCATCTATGTGTCTTCTTTGGAGAAGTGCCTATTTAGCGCTTCCCATTTTTTGATTGGATTATTTCTTTTCTTTTTGTTTAGTTGTATAAGTTCTTTGTAGATCTTGGTTATCAGCATCTTGCTGGGTATATGATGTGCAAACATTTTTACCCATTCATAGGGTGTCTTTTCATTTTAATGATAGTTTCCTTCACTGTGCAGAAGCTTTTTAGTTTGCTATAGTTCCATTTGTTTATTTTTGCTTTTGTTTTCTTTGCTAATGTAGTCAAGTCCCCAAAGACATCACTGAAGCCAAACTAACATCATGGAATATTTTGTCTATGTTCTGTCTTCTCTGTATTTCAGGTCTTACATCCAGATTTTTTTGTTTGTTTGTTTGTTTTAAGATTTTATTTATTTATTTATTTATTTATTTATTTATGCAAGCACTGGGTACAGTCAGAAGTACAGGAGGGTGAGAGAGCTCACCAGAGCCAGAGTGGAGAACAGAAGAGGCAGACCGACGAAATACACTGCTGAGGGGAGCAGTGGGCACAGCAGGAGAGGTCTACACGCTATGTGGGACCCTCGCCAGCGGCCAGGGATTGAACCGGCACCACAGAGGCCACAGGCAGCTGCTGTGCCACCAGGGGAGGCCCTACATCCAGGTTTTTAATCCACTTTGAATTAATCTTTGTGTATGGTATGACACTGTGATCTGGTACCATGCTTTTGCTTATGGCTGACTAGTTTTTTCAAAACTATTTAAGGAGACTTTCCTTTCTCCAAAGTATGCTCTTAGCTCCTTGCTGTACATTAATTGTACGAATAAGTGTGGGCTTATTTCTGGTCTCTCACTTCTGCTGTATTGATTTTGTGTCTGTTTTTATTCCCAAACCATACTGTTTTGATTACCATAGCTTTTTAGTATAAGTCTGGGAGTGTGATTTCTCCATTCTTGTTTTCTGTCAGTATTATTTTGGCTATGGGGTTTTCTGTGGCTTATTATAAATTTGAGTAATGTTTGTTCTATTATTTAAGAAATTCTATTGAAACTTTGATGGGGATTGCATTGAATTTATATATTGCTTTGGCTAAGATGGTTATCTTAGTGATATTGATTCTTGAAGTCCGTGAGCAGGTAATATCTTTCCATTCCTTCTTACCATCTATTTCTTTTACTAATGGCTATAGTTTGCATTATACAGGCCTTTTACCTCCTTTGTTTCATTTATCTCACTAAGTGTCATCTCCAGTGAGTATCTGAAATTGAAGCTTCCTGCTGTGCTGTGGGTACCATAGTTGCACAATGGGGATCCAAAGTGAGCCCCTCCTCTAGGCCCATTTGTCGGCCTAAATATCTCATATAGTTCTGTGCCAACCTCAACCTCAAGGATATATTTGTGTACTAGATACACACTGGACACATATTGTAATTGAGTTCACATGCTGGGTATTGTTCTCCTTGCCTTTTCACTACAGACCTTATCTTGGGGTGCTGTGCCTGTTATTGAGATACAGTTGTTTAAATTCTGATTAGTGAAAGTGTTTAGTTGTCTCAGTTTTGACCCTAGGTGACGGGTGATGTGTGTGTGTATGGGGGTGGGGATGGAGGTGTCAAGTGTTTAGACTATCACAGGCTCCAAATAATAGCCTTGTCTATGGGGACACACAGTTGATATGCCCAGGCTCTACC